TACAGTATATACTGTATATCTGTGCGGTTATAGGTGGGTGTGGAAGTGTGGATGTTGGGGGTGTGTCTTTGTCATTGAGTATATTTCAGACATTTGTAGTTGCAGCTCTTTTTCCTTTTCTTATTTTCTTTATCTTCTCACTTAAAAAAAAGTCACTGATGATGAAGAAATAAATAAACTAAATAAACTAATAATATTTGGTTTCGTTTTCTACTGAAGTGACAAAAAAAACTAAAAAAAAGTGGATTTTGCATGATACAGTATGTCCACTTTAAAGCAAAGAATGAGACAAACCTTCAGTTACTTCTGGTACTTTCTCCACACTTCCTGAAAACAGCAAAAGAGCAAAGTGTTAAAAACAAAATAAACCAGAAAAATGTGAGCGGATGCAACATTTTCTCTATAAATTAAAGAAAAGAAAAACATAACAAGCGAATTTCACATTCTAACACAATGAGCAGTAACGTTGTACCTCGGGGAATCTTGCAGATCCAGTCTAAGTCGGAGTCACAGTGCATGGCCAGCCAGGTCATGGTGCCCAGGTCGGCAGCGGCACACTGCCGGATGTTGTAGTAGTAACGACCGAAGTTCTGGTACGTCAGCTGAGACACAAGCAGAGAGCAGAACCTCTGAACGTTAGTAAGTTCTCCTGAAGCTCGTGAAGCCTTGTGTTCCGTTCGCGCTCACAGGAAGTCCGTCGCTCCACTTCCAGCTGCCGTTGTCCATGGGGTTCCTGCGGTTCAGTCCGATCCAAAACCAGTGCTGCTCGTGTTCCTCCGACTCCCTGTGGAACACCACAGTCATCAACATTACTGTGTGTTTCTCTTTTTTTACACAATATAAATGGAGAACAAAGAGAGGGAAACGATGGAGGCGTTCRACATTAAAAGAGAGAATTTACTTTCATGCAAGTTGTGTTATTTTACTAATCAAACAAATTTAAAGCTTAACTATACGTAAATGTTTAAACTTGACCCTACAACCAGTTGTAGCAAAAAATAAATAAATAAAACTGAGTGAAAATCAATAAACAATGACTAAAACTAGAAAACACAAAATTCTTGGCATTTTTAAATAAAACACTTAAAAGTTTTAATATTGTTTCTATCAATTTATGTGCACAAAATGTGTTTTTTCACATTATTGCAACGTTGGAAAAACACGAACTTCACTGTGCACCATGAAAAGAATTAAAGGTTTATATAAAAAAGAAAAGAATAAGTTTTTTTTGCTCATGTGTTCATTTGTTAAAGAGAATGATTTTCTTAAAATATGTTCTGATCAACTATTGKAAAAACAATTAGAGAAACGTGGATTATAGGAGAACGATTTGCTGTTATTTTTACAGTTATAATCATTGATAAGGGAGTGAGAAAATGATTTTAACACCTGAAGTGAACCTGTTTCRTGCTTTGCTTTATTCTGTACAGTGCTGAAAGTTACTGTGATTTAAAGTCCCTGAAGAGGACCCACGAGGCAGAGCGCCAGGCAAGACTGAAGACTTTGAGCTGAAGATCTGAGCATCAAGTTTTAAAATCTTCCTCATCAAGTAACAGGACGTGCGGACATACAAACCTGTTTCATGGATTTCAAAGTACTTAGGGTTGAAGACCTTTTTGTGAATTAAATCTGGAACCACAAGACCCAGGACATGTCAGCTAGTAAGTTATGAAATATCCTCCGTCCTCATCCAAATATCACAGCTAAATTAATGCAGCTTGGTTAGATTTTTCTCATCGGTTGATGTGACTTCTCTAAATGTGACCTACTCTTCTCCAGCCACTGAGGCACTGCTTTGCCAATATTCATTAAAAGAGCAACTACAAGTCGTGGACATTCACTTTCATTGGATTTCCCTGTGATGTGATTCTTCCATGGTGTTAAAAAAAAAGCAAATGTGCTGGTTCTTAAATTTATATGGTTCTTATTGGCTGCACTTGATCCAAAATTATTTAAAAAACATCCTAGGGTTCTACTGCCAGACTACTAAAACTAAATCCAGAAGTTAACAAGAGCCCCGTGTCACAACGAGGAGACGACTGCAGTAAACAAGTGTTAAGAGATGATCTACCTCAGGCTGCTCAGACGGATCAGTTTCTTGGGTGAAGTGGGGCGTGGCTTTCAGAAAAATGTGGTTCCAGTCTGGAGGAATTCTCCTCACAATCAGCTTAAACAACGTTCTCATAACTGTTTAGGTAAGACTTATCTGTGCTTGGAAGAGTTCGGACCCTTTGAAATGGAGAGCTGGTACCGAGGTGGTTCTGATTTAATGAGGAAGAGCCTTGTGACCTAACACTGCAGAGTACTGAGCGCTGAATGACTGCTGAAATATGCTGAAGATGTTTAAGTTATGACATGAACAGGAGCAAGAAAAGCTGTTCTGAGGCTAAAAGAAGCTTAACAGAGGCTAAAAGAAGCTGAAAAGAAGCTGAAATAAGCTGAACAGAAGCTGAACAGAGGCTAAAATGAGCTAAACAGAAAATAAAAAAAGCTAAATTGTAGCTAAAATGAGAGAAAACAAGCAAAATGCTGGCTAAAAGTACTAAAATGCTGATTTAAACTAGCTGAAAAAATAGCTAGAGGTAGCAAAGCGCTAGCTAAAAGAGGCTGAAAAGAAGCTAAAAGAAGCTGAACAGAGGCTAAAAGAAGCTGAAAAGAGGCTAAAATAAGCTGAACAGAAGCTAAAATGAGCTAAACAGAAAATAAAAAAATGCTAAATTGTAGCTAAAATGAGAGATAACAAGCAAAATGCTGGCTAAAAGTACTAAAATGCTGACTTAAACTAGCTGAAAAAATAGCTAGAGGTAGCAAAGCACTAGCTAAAAGAAGCTAAAAGAGCTAAACAGATGCTATAAAAGGCTAAACAATAGCTACAAGAAGCTGAACAGCAGCTAAACGAYGCTGAACAGAGGCTAAAAGAAGCTGAAAAGAAGCTAAATGATGCTGAACAGAGGCTAAGAGAAGCTGAACAGAAAATAAAAAAATGCTAAATTGTAGCTAAAATGGGAGATAACAAGCAAAATGCTGGCTAAAAGTACTAAAATGCTGATTTAAACTAGCTGAAAAAATAGCTAGCGTTAGCAAAGCGCTAACTAAAAGAAGCTGAATTTCCAGATAAATGCTAAGTGTAGCACTTATGCTGAATTCATATGATACTAAATGTGTGAGAGTTTCCTAAAACACTTTGCATCATGTGTTGTGGCTCTGGTCCAGACCCACCCAAAGGTCTCGTGGAGGACCTGCAGGATGAACTGCTCCTCCTCAGGGCTGCTGATGCTCAGCAGGTTGGCGCCGTGTTTCCTGCAGAACAGGTGAGCCTGCAGCCAGGTCTGCTTCTGCTCCAGCTGGGAGGAGTGAAACACCTGAACAGAAGGGGAGGTTTCAGACTCACTCCGTGTTAACAACAACAACACAGACTCCACGACATCAGCTGTTCAAACTGACAGCGTGGGGGGGGG